TATATATATATATATATATATATATATATTTTAAGTGCAGTCCCTTTACTAACACTTTATTGGGCCAATCGAAGACAGACTGGAAAAGATGTAGTTATCTGTGTGCTGCTCCTAGTGAGTCAGAAATGACACATCTCAGGTGTAGTAGGTGATGTGCCAAAATGCTAACCGGTTGAAACGTGAAACACACTCCCTGCCCTGCCATCTAAACCCACGCCTCCTGAAACACAAACACGCGCACCGTAAAGATAACAGCAGACAACCCACTAGATCATGTGATTCACCAGTTAGAAAACTTTATAGTACTTTTTGATACTTCAATTCTAAAAAAAAATAATAATAAAAAAGTTGTCATGATGTGCAATATTTCATGCATGCAAGGATCCCTGGTCTCAGTCTCACATGCTTTGTCCCAATGCAACTATTGTATGCTTAGTGGTTGGCTGGCAGGGTGCAGGAATTACACTTATTACTAAGCCATAATTGCATGCTATTTCAGACTAAATGTTTAAAGTGGCATGGTAAACAATATAGGGAGCACATCACAAGTTGTCATTGTTCAGAAATGAACCAATGTAAATATAAAACCAACTTCATCTCAGTAAAGCAGGCTAGAATGAATGGCACCATTTATTAATATTTTGTTGTTAAACTGAATAAAAACCTACATTATTGATGCTGTAAAAGGTCCCTTATGAAACCGAAAATAGTCATATCAACCGTTCGCCGGAAAATTTCAGTGGCTGAACAACACTTCTGTGCATATAACCCATAATACAACACAATCTACATAAGCTTTGCGTGACTTAAACAGTTTTAAAACATAAAACTACCTAAAAGAAATACTTCAACCATGGTGTCATCCTTCCTCCAGGGTGCAAAATTAACTTTAATATTGATTCAGAATTTTAAACTTTTCATTCAACATTTGTTTTTATCCCTGTGTCTTGTGTGCATATAAACACGCAGGTGGATCTGCGTGAACAGAGATGTGATGATGCACAAATCTACATTTGCTGACAGACAGTTTGGGCTACTTATCAGAATTATGCGAATTATTGGCAGAACTGGATTTAATTGTAGTTTTATGCCTTGTCCAGAATACATATAAATGCATTTCGATCATTTACTTTATTCATTACTATTAGAAGGTGAAGAGACTTTCAAACAGCACAACAAAAATGTTTCTGAAGACAATCACTTAATGCACCTTTAACACTAAATTGCAGATATCCTTACATATCTGAGAATGTGTTCATTACATTAATGTTTGAGAAGCAGTTTTTTTGCTTTATTCAGAGAGACTAAAAGAGCATGACTTCCTGCGCTGTGACATCAATCAAGTTGTTTTTGTCACACTGTGATCGTCTAGCATGGTGTTAATGACTGTTTATCCAACCTGTGCTTCAGCAGGTGTCTGTCTGAGAAAAAATGTTTTGATACTGTCCTCCATATTTCTATGCTGGGAGGTGATGAGGTCTGTGCTAGTCATCTTGGTGGTTTTATTTGTCATTAAATGGCAAACCTACAGCTGAAATTTTCTGTGATTAAAGGCTGTTCACATCATGTAAGACAGATATAATTATAAAGCTGTAGTAATTGAGAAGCTGAAAAAACAGCTAATGATGAACAGTTATTGTGGGAATCAAAAGAATGTTTTTTCCCCCAGGTTATTAACAATAAAAACAATAACAGACAATCAGAACAGTGTTAAAGGTATACATTTTATTCATTAATTTTCCTTCAGCTTAGTCCCTTATTTATCAGGGGTTGCCACAGTGGAATGAACCCCCAACTATTCCAGCATACGTATTATGCAGCGGATGCCCTTTTGGCCGTACACCCATACACACTCATTCATACACGCATACATTGTGGCCAATTTAGTTTATTCAATTCACTTATAGTGCATGTCAATTGACTGTGGGGGAAACCGGAGCACCTGGAGGAAAACAACACACACTGGGAGAACATGCAAACTCCACACAGAAATGCCAACTGGCCCATCTGGGACTTGAACCAGTGACCTTCTTGCTGTGAGGCGAGCCACCATACCACTCATTTTGTATTTTGTATTTAAATGAGTTTTTATTTTGATATTATTTTTCAAATTTCTGCTAATTTCTGTTTCATTTTACTTTTGTTTCATTAATCGTTTTGTTGGTGTTGTGAACATATGTCGATTTAGGCTTTATATAATGGACCCTATTATATATCCGGTGCAATAAGGCGCAAGACGTGTTTGGCACGATCTTTGGAGGGATCTGGCTGCAGACTCGGTGCAGGGCAATCTGAGCTGCATCCAATGCTTTTTAATGCGCTCACCTAATCACACCCCCTTACCCTACCCATCACAGTGATGTCACTCACTTTATTGAGTGCATTGTGTCTACATTGCATTGCTGAGTGATGCAATCTCAGCTTGCATCATTAAGGCTGCATCCAGATACCATTTTCAGACCAGCGCAACACTTTTTCATGTTTTATGCCATGTTTTTTAAATAGCAAATCCCTTTCGCACCACTTTTTGGACTCAAGGGTGTTCTAGTCTAAAAAGGAGGTGTGTTAAAGCACATTGTTGGCACGTTGCTTTTGACCATTTAAAAGCTTGTCTAATGTCCAGCAAAAAGTGTGTTAGTTGTGCACCTATGCAGATTATTAGACACAGGATGTACAGCAATACACAAACATCTTTACATATAAAAAAAATTAAAGGATTAAAATGAAAATGATTACTTTCTACATAAATATAAAAACTACTGCCTCCATACCTTCTTCATGTCTGGGGGCTTTTTCAGTTAATTCATGACAATTTGCTTTTGTGTAATCTTATTATTATCAGCAGTATTATTTATTATATGCATATTTATATTTGCTTTAATAAAAACACATTTTGTCCACCTGTCAGGCATAGGAATAGAAGGTGTGTTAAGATACAACTCAGTTTTTTTGACCACACTTCATTATTATTGTTCATTAATTCATTTGCTGTAAATTAGAAATAAATTTAGAAATAGTTTTGAAACTAATCTTTGCGCTTAACAAACAAAATTTTTAATTATGTAGGCTAAAAAGTAAAGGAGTAAAGAGTAAAAGTAAAGTAAAGAGAAAGTAAAGAGGCCAAATGGAGAAGGCTCATTCTTTATCCTTGCGCTGCATTAACTCTTGTGCAAACCCCTTAATAGTAACAATAAATAATAAAATAAATGTTTAAACAATGAACCCAAAACCACACAAACATTTAAAGTAAAGATAAAGGGTTATGGCAAAACTTTTTCATATTAAATACCATGAATGTAATTAAACAGGCTTAGTTTAGATTTTTTTTTTTTTTTGGCAAATGATGAAAGTTAGAACACATGTTTTATGTTCACATATAAAAGAAAATATGTTTTTGTAAACAAAATGTAGTTGTCTATAACAACTGTCTACTGGTGTTTTTGTAAATAACCACAAACTAGTTTTATTTTTATTTTTTTTAGCACAGAATAAAGCCTGGTTTATACTTCTCAAGATCTTGTCAAGTGATCAACGTGACCCACGGTGCATGCAGTGTGCGTAGCTGTGCATTTCTAGACCTTTTTCTTGGCTGCAGCATGGAGGGCGCCATAGCGACCAGCGTCTTCCGGTAGAATTGTTAGAACTTCCGTTTACAGCGTTTAAAATAGGTAATTTGACACAACTTTGAAGGGTGTATGTTAAAGCCATAATAGTCTGTCAGATGTGATTCAATCGCGAGAGAAAAAAGTTTTCCTAGTTCACGTGTCTGCCGTCAGAAATACAATGTGTGTGTGTGTGTGTGTGTGTTTCCGCGGCCTGTCAGCTGTTAGCTCAGCAGCTCTTCAACACACACACACACACACACACACACACACACACACACACACACACACACACACACACACACACACACACACACACACACACAAACTGAACTAAAAAAGCCTCCCGAGATGAAGAAGGCATGAAAGCAGGGTTTTTTAAATTTGTGCCGGCTATAAAATTTTATGTTTTGTAATATTTTAATCCTTTATATTTATATCCTATATATATTGTAGTGTAGGCTGAATCGTAGCATACGCATGTGCTTGATGCAGAAGTATAAATCAGCCTTAAATGCTTATTCATTTAAAAAAAAAAAAAAAAAAATATATATATATATATATATATATATATATATATATATATATATATTATTTTATTTCATTTAGTTTTTAGTGATTGTTTTGTTAGTTTAGTTAATTGTAGTTTTCTTTTATTATGATTTTTACGTTTCATTTCAGTCAACAAAAATGTTGACCAATATTTTTAGTCTAAGTCTTAGTCTTACTAAAACAACCTTGGATCAGAATCCAGAGCTTTCCTTTAACATTGTTTAAATTTAATTACTTGGCAGATGGTTTTATCCTGAACGAGGACAAAAGAAGTAAGCTAAACAGCAATAGAACAATGTACAGTAATTATAATGAATTATTTGAATAAAAAGTGAATTGTTATGAGAAGGCCAGATTAATTTTCATTTTAAGAAAAAAAATGTTATAGGAAATAGAAAAGGGATTGTTAGTGTTATGATCAAAGCAGTTTCATACACCCACATACCCATACACATACACTCATGCAAATGTTTATCGAAAATAGAATACAGAGGATTAGTGTTTGATAATTAAGTGTTGATGAACAGTCTGTTTTTTAAAGGGGCAGAGAACTAATAAGCAGAACATTATCAATCATTAATATGGGTGGTATCATTGTTATATTTATCTTTTGAGTTATCATTTTTCCTGCAAACTGACTTTTATTTGATTTAATGTAAGTATGATTTGATTGATTTGATTGTCAATCCACATATTGAGCAATTAAGTTGCTTTAGGCTCAATTGAAAGTTGTCACTGTAGCTGAACATGAGAGAAAAATGATGTTTGGTGAAGCATACAGCAGGAGATTGTCTGAGAGTAATGGGAATATACAGTTCGGTCTTATTTTTCTCTTCTCTTTTTCAGCTTCCATCGTGCTACAGAAGTGGTGGTGCCAAATGCACCCATGTTTGGATGGCGAGGAGTGCAAAGCTCTTCCAGATCTGACTGGCTGGTCCTGCAGCACCGGTAACAAAGTCAAAACCACTAAGGTTAGTGGAGCAAATAAATGTGAATTGCATTTTGGTTTATTGGGGACTTGATGAAATTAGAACTGCATTGGTTGAAGGCTAATACATGTTACATCGAAAAAAAGTCTAAAAAATCCAAGGTTGATACAGAAAGTGTTATCTGTCCATGGTTAAATATGGCATCTGAGAACCTTTTTATTGCCATAAAAGTCCCTTTTAAACAGTCTTTTCTGAGAACCACTATATATGCCATCAAAACACTCCACACGAGTATTCTCAGAAAGAGTATCTTTGAGGAGCCCTTCTTTCTCCCAAAGCCTTTTTCTCAGGCAAACCATTCTTCAAAGAAGCATTTTGTTCAGACCTTACTTTTATAAGAGCGTTCTCTGAAGCTCCTAAGTACATCGAAGGTCTCTGTTAAGAGAGAAAACAATTGCCAAACAATTCTAAATAGCCACTTCTTTAAAGTTTACCTGTTTATGAACACATTATTGCAGAGACTACATAAGCTTCTCAGGAAACTGTTTTAAACTTAATGACATACATCACTCAAACTTCCTAAGAAAGACTTATTAAGAATGAGCAAAGCTTAAGGATGAATCAAATTTCAGTGACTTTACAGTTTGTGACTCATCACATAAAAACCTCAAGTTCTCAGTCATATACAGAAAACTGTTATTGGCCGATGGAAAATTTTCAAAAGTCAAGCCTAGACAAACATGCTGAAACAATTTACTGCAAGTTAATAGTTAATGCAAGTAAATTTGGTCCCACTTTATATTAAGTGGCCTTAACTAATATGTACTTACATAGGATCTAATAGTTTGTTACTATGTACTTATTGTGTAAATACATGTATTCACTGTGTACATATGCTTGATTAAATACACGTATGTAATTACATCTGTAATTAACTTTTGTAATTGCATTTGTAAATACACTGTTGACCACCCCTTACACCTTAACCTACCCTTCATCCTACCCATGCCACCAAACCTGTCCATAACCCAACCTCTATTCCAACTAAAAAGCACCACAGGTGTTCTCAAATACATTATAAACACAGTAAGTACATTGTATTTGTTTTTTTGATGTAAGTACATAGTAGTTAGGGACACAATATAAAGTGGGACCGTAAATTTAATTGCAAGTTACTGCAAAATGTCTACATTTCCAATTAAAGAACCATATTTAACCCATATAGCTTAAAACAAATATTTGAACCTGTTGACCTTATTCTTCACATACAGTACAAGCAGGTGCATTTATTGGAATGTGTCTGACTCGAGACTTCTGGTCTTATTCACTTGTTTTGATTTTTTAACGTTATAAAAAGATTGATTTGCTGCTTCATGTTGCAAAGTGATATTTTCTTTTTATATTATTTTTCTTTATTTGTATATTTTAAACAAACTTGTTGGTAGAGCAATTAGTTTAGCTGTTTTTCTGTCGTTTATTATTGTTAGTAATTTTTCCTATAGGAAACTGAATCGGAAGTTCTAAAACTATCGCAAAAACAAGTGCACTTCTGCATTGCAGAATAAGGTCAAAATGGTTGAAGATTTCTATGTTCTATCAAGGCTCACTGTAAATATGTGGCAAAATGTAATTTTTTTTTTTGCAGAACTTAATTTATATTAAAAATAAACAATTAATTGCTGTTGTTTTTGGCTTACATGTACAGTAGAGGCAGTAAAACACATCATTTCGTATGTTTTTTGTATGTGTGTGTGTGTTTGTGTCTTTAATTGCTCTTGCTCCCTGCCCACTTTCAACAACAGGTTGAAGTTTTTATAGTACGTGCCTCAGTTATTCCAGCAACAACAAGCAAAACATCAGCATGCATTTTAAAACAGTGTCAGTTCTAAACTATTACAATACATGCATGAAACACGCACACATAATTCTGACTTTCGGATGATGCATGTGGAGTTCCCCTTCGGGTGGGAACTCCAATGCTATTAGTGGATTTTAATCCACGAATGGGGATTTCGTTTCAGAAAGCTAATCGTCTGAAAGAGTATATAACGGGCCAATGAAATGCCAAATGAGTTGGCAGCGTAAGCTTGCGCACTTGTGCCTTATTGCCAATAAGCTCCGCATATAAGCACAGGGAAAGCAAGGAAACGCCATCCTTTTCGCTTCAGAGACTTTTACAGCCTTCTGAGAGAGTCGATGAGGGTTCCTCCTGCTGTAATCCAGCGATTTGAGCGAACGAGAGTGGTCTCCCGGTCCATAGTGGGTACACGCGGCAGCAGACGGTCGAGCTGGGATTCTCCGTTGCCTGGCGTTCTTTGGGTCCGGTCCTCCAGAGCGGTGCGTATAGTTGCAAATTTCCTAAAAGAGCAACACAGTCGTGCAGCACGTCCTTTTCAGGATGGCGCTCTGTGCGTTTCTGGATGCGGTGGTTTCCAGTCTCCGAATGATGGGCACAATCACTGCGTTGCGTGTCTGGGGGTCCAGCATGTTAATGCGGTGCTCGCAGGCAGTTCATGTCGTCATTGCGATGCCATGTCTGTTGCGCAATTGAGATCGTGGCTAGCCCTTGTGAAGGGGCGAACCACCCCAGCTGTACCCTGCACTGCAGCGGGCACTCGGGCAGATCTGAGGGTTTCAGCGAGAGATAATCCATTGCCTACGGGCGCTCCTACAAGCACTCCTTCCAAGCTTCGGGTGGAGGAAGCGATCTGTCTAACCAGATGGTAGCCCTTACGATCGATGACACCGGAGACCAGACGTCCACTGCGGAATCAGAGGGTGGGCTTTAATTGTCAGATGATGATCCAGACCTGCTCGCCCCCCTGGGCAGGTGAGCGCTGTCAAGACGGATCCTGAAACGGACATGTTAGCCGTGCTTTCCCGGGCTGCTTCGGCCGTGGGGTTGGAGATGGTTTATCCCCCAGCTCCACGGCCAGACCGACTAGATGGGTGCTACGTAGAGGACCAGAGGGCGAAGCCTTCGAAACCTCTCGTCCCCTTCTTCCCGGAAGTGCACAGTAGGCTCACGCAGTATTGGAGGGCACCTTTCTCGAGCTGCATGAGGGTGGGTCCAATCCAGGCTTGTTACACGAGCTTTGCACCGCAACCAACTATGTTCTTCGGACCACTAAGTCCACTGCGTGTGCGTTGGGAAGGACAATGTCCACATTAGTGATCCAGGAACACCACCTCTGGCTAAACCTGGCTGATATGCGCGAAGTCAACAAAGTTCGCTTTCTTGACTCCCCCATATCCCAGGCTGGCCTGTTCGGCGACACCATGGATGAGTTCACCCAGCAGTTCAAGGCGGTGAGAGAGCAATTGGATGCGATAGGCAATGTCATCTATCAGCGGGACCGTAAGCCCGCTCCACCCGCCGTACCATCCACATCTGCTGCTCCTCGCCGAGGGCATTTGCCTACGAGTGCTGCCCCGCACCCACTTCGCCGGAGCACCTCGGAAGCAGGCATCCCCCCTGCCCAGGGCACCGTTAAGTCCGGTAAACAGCTCGTGAAGCGTCCCTGAGACAGGTCATCCGAGAAGAGGAAATTTGCTCTTTCCCCGCTGGAGCGTGGGGCCCCATTTCCTGGTACTTTTCAGTGCCACGAAAAATCAATGATAGAGCACTTTTCCACTTCCCCGGATGTGACAGCACAAACCCTGCCAGTCCGGTGCGCTCTGCTTCCCAGCTTGCAGGCTCTGTGTGCTTCGCCAGTGACTCACGAGCGCTGGGAGGACGGTCTCCTTTCTCCCACCCCTCGAGCCCCCTCTCCGGAGTTTGGGTGCGGAGTGAGAGCGAATCTCTCGCCTCCATCTCTTCCGCGGGACCCTCGCGCTTCCGGGATCAGCACGCCCACTCTGGGCTGCCCCACTGCTGGTACGTCAGCGGTTGTATGAGTCCATTAGTGAGAGCTCTGCCTGCTTGGTTAGCGCAGGCCAGCCCTTCGCGGTGGCTCATACGCACAATCAGACTCGGTTATGCGATTCAGTTCACGAAACGGCCCATCAAATTCACGGATGTGTTTTTCACCAGGGTCAGCCCCCTGTCCGCCCCTGTCTTGCGAGAGGAGATTGCTGTCCTCCTGGCGAAAGATGCAATCGAGCCGGTCCCTCCAGCCGATATGGAGAGCGGGTTTTACTGCCCGTACTTCAAAAAGAGCGCTGGGTCAGGGCCAATCCTAGATCTGCGCGTTTTGAACCGCTGTCTGCACAAGCTGCCGTTCAGAAAGCTCACGCAGAAGCGCATCCTCCGGTGCATTCGTTCTCGGGATTGGTTTGCAGCAATAGATCTGAAGGACGTTTATTTCTATGTCTCCATTCTTTCTCGCCACCGTCAGTTTCTGCGGTTTGCGTTCGAAGGTCGAGCTTGGCAATACAAAGTCCTCCCCTTTGGGCTCTCTCTGTCTCCACGGGTCCACACCAAACTCGCGGAGGGTGCCTTAGCGCCCCTTTGGCTCGCGGGCAAACTCAATTATTTCAACGACTGGCTGATATTATGGCGTTTCCAGACATTTCGCCATTCGTGAATTAAAATCCATTAATAGCATTGGTGTTCCCCACCCGAAGGGGAACGCTCTGGTTACTAAGGTAACCCTCGTTCCCCAAGGAGGGGAACGGAAATGCTATATAGCATCACCATAATGATTGTTCCTTAGCTGTAAGTGTCAGTCTCTTCAGCTTAAAAGGATGGCGTTTCCTTGCTTTCCCTGTGCTTATATGCGGAGCTAATTGGCAATAAGGCACACTTGTGCAAGCTTACGATGCCAACTCATTTGGCATTTCATTGGCCCGTTATATACTCTTTCAGACGATTGGCTTTCTGAAACAAAATCCCCATTTGTGGATTAAAATCCACTAATAGCATTTCCGTTCCCCTCCTCGGGGAACGAGGGTTACCTTAGTGACCAGAGCGTTCTCATTTGCATACACTGTCATATACAGCACTTATATTAAAGGTCACATTAAAAAACGCACAGAAAGAACAATTAATTAATTGTTTATGTTTACAGTTTACACAATACTAGTTGTCAGTGCTGGATAGA